GAGAGAGAGAGAGAGAGAGAGAGGCTATTCCAGAAGCCTCAACATCCCTAGCAAAGATAAAAATCAAAAAAGATTGGGACCTGAAAGCACCCCCTAGTGGGTGCTGATTGGCTGAAATTATTTATTTATTTATTTACTTTCTTCTTCATCAATGACCAACCCCACTCCGATTGGGCTAACGGGTCACTGCTGTTGTGGTACCTCCATTTGAGGTATATTATGGTCTTATTTTTATAATTTAAATCGTTATTTTGTAAGGTTTGTTAAATACTTCATGCCTATCAAAAATTATATTAATCGGATATCAACAACTATATGATCAATAACCAAAAAAATAAATAATAAGTTTTTCTTTTGAGAAATAACATAAACAATATGCTATTCGATCATATAGTTATTGATATCCGATTAATATGATTTTTTATAAGCATGAAGCACTCAACAAACCCTACAAAATGAACGGTTTAGATCATAAAAATAAGACCATAATATACTTCAAACGGAAGCACCACGGTCATTGCTGTGCTTTAAGCATCACAGGGACCCCTGTTCCCTCCGATTGGGACCTCAAAGCACCCCAGTTGGTGCTAATTGGCTGAAATTTTTTATTTATTTATTTATTTTCTTCTTCATCAATGACCAACCCCCAGGGGGGATGAGGTGAAATGGGTCTCAATCAGTTCTGAATAAAAATTCATTGCAAGATGGCAATGTGGGTCCCACCAAGCAGGCACTAAGGCCCTGTTTGTTTTGGGAGATAGAATGGAGGAGATTGATAGTAAGGGGATTGTTAATGAGAGGATTGATAGTGAGGGGATTAATAGTGAGGAATTGTTAAATTATTTTTATATAAAATAATCTGAAAAGTACACATGATAGGAGAGAGAGAGAGAGAGAGAGAGAGAGAGAGAGAGAGGCTATTCCAGAAGCCTCAACATCCCTAGCAAAGATAAAAATCAAAAAAGATTGGGACCTCAAAGCATCCCAGTGGGTGCTGATTGGCTGAAATTTTTTATTTATTTATTTATTTTCTTCTTCATCAATGACCAACTCCACTCCGATTGGGACCTCAAATCACCCAGTGGGTGTTGATTGGCTGAAATTTATTTATTTATTTAGTTATTTATTTATTTATTTATTTTCTTCTTCATCAATGACCAACCCCAAGGGGGGATGGGGTGGAATGGGAGTCTCAATCAGTTCTGAATAAAAATTCATTGCAAGATGGCAATGTGGGTCCTACCAAGCAGGCACTAAGAGCCTTGAGGCTGTTCCACTTCACTACAACATCACACAAGAGTATATTCAATTATGCCTTGTCTGAGAATAATAGATTATTTTTGTGATTTTTTAACTTTTTATGAAAAAATATATAAAAAAGTAAAAAGAGTGATATAACAATTTATAATGATTTTTTTATATTTAACTAAAACAAAAGGTTGACAAACGAGACTTAAGCCAACTCTATCCAAATAATTATTTAGTAATTTCAAGACATTATGTAAGATTGTTTATGTAAGATTTTAAATCAATTATCATACACTTATATAGTGAAAAATTTTAGGTGTGTTAGGAATATATATTGCAGTTTCTTACATATATATTCTTAACCTTAGAAACTTCTATATGTCCTCGCCCTTTTACCCTGCTTCATTCAACTAAGTTACCACCTAGTATATTGTGTGCACCGTGCACTAAATGATAACTATATTAACTGTTCATTTTGTCCAGCAAGAAGAGGGCAAATCACAAATGGTAAAGGAATAATCAAAGTTTTTGCAAACATTTCATCATACAAAAGTGAATCCCTTTCATTGTTTTTCCTTCCATTGATATATAAAGAGTGTTAAAGGACGTCCTAGACCCAAAAAAAGAAAAAGAAAAAGAAAGAAACATAGAAAATTAAAAATAAAGAATTAAATTAGGTCTAAAGTGGATTTAAACGAAAGGTTTTCATAACAAGTCATGCATGATTTGGAAATTTTACAAATAATTTTAAAATCTTGATAACAAGTCGCGTATTTAATCTTGCAGCAAAGATTAAATATCAGAAGAATACACCATCGTATTGGGCCAAAAAAATCTAACAATCTCAAACGAATATTAAATTTACAAATACATTGAATTAAAATAATAATTTTTTATATTCTTCCATAGATGAGGCCACCCAAGACAATGTACACTCTACAAGATCAGAGAATAAGAATAACAATAAGAACTAAGAAATCAAAAGGCTCAAAACAAAGTCACTGCATGCCATCTTATGAAGCACGGGTACTGGTATGATTATTGGTACTGGTATAATACAGGTATTTTGATATAGTAAAATCTAAAAAAAAAATAGTATGGGGGTAGAAATAATTTTTAAAAATTTTAAAATATTTTTTTGACATTTATTTTTATCAAATTAGTTTATATTTTATCAAATTGATGATTTTGCTTTTGAAATTAAGCAATAATATTTTCAATTGTCTTTATTTAGAATAAGATTCAAAATTCATGGTCAAATGTATCACTATTGAAAAGTCAAGGACCAAAGTGACGCAAACCCCAAACTATAAGGACTGTTAGTGTAATTCACCCGTCAATATATTAAATAACTTACAAACCATAGTTTAATTTTAAAATCATACTATGTATAAAAACTTTTTTAAAAAATGTCTAATGAAAGGAGTTTTATCTCTGTAGTAAAGAAAATATTATTTCAACTGAGGTATGGTATGGCTTGAGTATATGTTAGGTACGTCTCGATATGCTAAAAATTAAGAAGAAAAAAATTGGGTACATATTTTGTTTATCCAGTACGTATGAAGAAGTATCATTCAAGGTATCAGTACGAAAACAATATATTTTTTAAAATATCCATATTTCATAGATGCCATCTTTTTTTATTGACAAAAGATAAGCATCAATTGAAATACTTGCAGCCGGAATAAGGTTTAAAAGTATACTGAGAATTCAAGCTCGATTCTATACTCGTCTCCCAATTGCATTTAGCAACTAATTATCCACTAAACTAAACCATTTATCTCCATTACAGGATAGAATATAATTATGCTGTGCCATTATTTAATTCCACCACATTATGAGATGAATAGCCTCGTCCACATCTTTAGTAAGACAAAAACACAAATATCTCTCTCTCTCTCTCTCTCCTTTTAGGTTAAAACTGTTTATTCTGAAACTATTTTAATTCCCTTACACAAAAAGTGCCCTATAAATGAAATTCAATGAAGGAAAGCTACCTGAAAGTGGAGTAAATGTCAAATGCTTTGGGACCACCACTGAAAGACTCCTAGCCTCCCAACTTGCAGGTCTCATAGGTAATGCACCAACAAGTTCTTTCAAGAAAAAAAATCATTTGGATTATCAATGGAAAAAGAAATTCCTTATTACTTTGTTTAATTGGGGATTTGATAAGAGATTTAAAAAGAGAAATGAAAAAAGTATATGAAATTAGGTAAAATATAAGTATATTTTATTTATATTTTACCTATCTTTTTCTTTTTCCTTTCCAAATCGTTTCATAAATCTCCAACCAAACACAACGTAGTGGCCGAGATAAAAAACTGAAACTCTAATCTTGTTTTTGGTTGGAAGATTTGGAAAGGGATTTAGAAAGGAAAAAGAAAAACTCTAATCTTGTCTTTCCAAATCATTCCTCAAATCCCCCACCTAACCCAAACAGCGTAAGCAAAACCACATGATGGCTTGGCAATTAGTCAGATGATTCCAGTCACAAGATGAAGCAACTGTATTGAAAGCTTTAAATGATAACATCGTAAAGGACAGAAATCACGTGGATTGGGCCGACAATCAACGATCAAAGTGACCTTGATTTTACAGAAGAGAAGGTCACAAAAACAAAAACAAACACAAAAAATAAGGAAAAGTCATTCTCAAGATTGTATGTGAAGAAAATGATAGAAAAGGTGAGAATAGGATGACACACGGAGAGTGAAAGGAGCGAGAGCTTTGATCTAATGGGATCAACTTCAAGGCAGTGTTCATACCACCATATGGTGAGTGATTGTGGATGTGGTGTAAGTGGAGGTGTGGGGTATGTGTCTTTCTAGAAGGCAATACTACTGGCTTTACCTTGAGGCACTATACCACACCATCATGGTAATCCATAAGCATACTTGCAAATGAATTTCCATCTCATCTTATCATCTCTATCATCCGATGTTGTACATATGTCGACAATCATCACATTTCATAGTTCAGTCAGGCAATTAATTAGCACCAAACTTGATACCATTTTGAAAAACATTTTAACCTTTGGAAAATCATCATCTTCTACCTATGACGGACTTCGTTAGGTCTAAATTATATTTTTAACCCACTTTTTAAAAAGAATAATGTTATATGTATCGATTAGTATACTAACTAGTATACTAATTGATAATGTGTCATAATTTTAAAAAATTTCGAAATTTATAATATGTATAATGAGTGGAGTCAATAATAATGTCATAACTAGTGTTGATACACTAGTTAGTACACTAATTGGTGCATGTAGTACCACCATTTTTAAAACATAACATAAAATAAAATAGACATTATTTTTCTAGTAACCCAACTAAAGAGGATATACTCAAGTCAAGAATGACAAAATGAGAAGCAGGAGGTGAGTGTAATTTACCCATAATTTTTTGATTCTGTATTAACCTACGTTTGCCTAAAATTCAAATACTTCACCTTCTAAACAAGGGATCCTCTCTCTCTCACACACACACTCACCAAACTCATACAGGTTGGGTGTCTCTACACCAACCTTGTTACGCTAACCTTGTTACGCTGTGTTTGGTTGGAGATTTAAGAAAGGATTTGAAAATGAAAAGGAAAAAGGTGTGTGAAATATATTTCACCTACTTTTTTCCTTTTCTTTGCCAAATCTTTTCTTAAATCCATCAACCAAACACAATGTAAGGGTAAAAAGGTCTGTGGGAATGTGTAGTCATTTTCCTACTCTCTAGAGCTTTCCAATCAGATTTCTGATTCCCATCTTCTCGGTATATAAATACGACTCCACCCTTCACTGTCTTTCATTCAAAAGATTTTAGATCAAGTGTCCTATAAACAGAGGTCCTGTACTCGTTGGGAAAAGAAATGGTGGCACTACCATTCCAATCCCTTTATTTTCATTTATTAATTATTATTTGTTCCTTGGTGTTCTCCAGTAACTTGCTGCTTTCTTCTAAATTCTTTTGAATTTCCATGTAGGCTGAAGCATACCGTTTAAACATATGGGAAGGCTATGTAGATTGGAGGAACAGACCAGCTCTCAAAGGCTGCCATGGTGGTGTGCTTGCTGCCTCCTTTGTGCTAGGTTAGTAAAGCTTCTAGCTATTAATTAAGGCACATTTTCAAAAAGTTTTAGAACTAAAAAATAAAAAAGAGTACAATTTGATCCATTCCATTTGGATGGATGGGGATTTGAAATGTACGGATTTGACATTCATCATTCAAGGAGAATAACTCAAATTTAGATTTGATAGTTTACTTATAAATTTCAAGATTAAATTAAATAATGTTATCATGATGTACTTGAAATAACTATATAAAAGTAGGTATTTGAAATCGTGCTAAGGATTCTGTTCTAACTACAAAAATCTAAAATATATCTTTTTTATCTCAACGTATCTTCTTTTATAGTTTTTCTATACACTAATAATAGCTAACTCTCTAATATTTTTCAAAAATGCTTGGTAATTCAAATTTGTGTGATCCGAATGATTCAAATATATCAAAACGACGTGTCTTGATTTGACATTCTCATTCATCCAAACAAACCATAAGTATTTCCGTGAAGTTGTAGCTTTTGAACTACAACTTCAAAAATTGGTTCCAAAGAACTTTTCAAAAGTACAGTCACACAGGAACTTTATTGGGAAGGGAAACTATATTATTTTCTCAGTAAGAAAATAAACAATTAACGCTTTTTTTCTTTTTTTTTTCGTGGTATACCTTTAGTTGTGGAGGTACTGGAGAACATGGCATACCTGGCCAATGCAAGCAATCTTGTTCTCTATCTGTCGAAGTTCATGCATTTTTCTCCATCACGTTCTGCAAACATAGTTACCAACTTCATGGGCACAGCCTTCCTGCTGGCTCTCCTTGGAGGTTTCTTAGCTGACGCTTTCTTCACCAGTTATTGCATCTATCCAATAAGTGCAACAATAGAATTCACAGTAAGAATTTCTACAAAGATTAAGCTTCTCATTCAATATCTGATTCAATACGATTCATTCTTGCCAAGCCAATAAATAAGTAAATAAAATGAATATAAACTACTTCCTCTGATATGTCTGTATTCTACTTAAGACTTTATGCTTAAAACAGTGGATCCTGTTTGTTCCAAAAGCTTAAGTTGTTATAAAATGGATCCAACAAATTATATCAAGTTATCCGACACTCTCCCTCATGGGCAGCCCCATCTTGCACGTGGAGATGCAAACAAAGAACCAAACAGAAAGAGAAGCAAACAACCAAACAAAGAAGAAGAAATCAAACGGGGTCCAATATCAAAAATCAATAGAGAGATTTTAACCCAAGACCTCTCTCAACTTGAGCTCTAAGTCACCAATTGTCTAAAAAGCTTAAACTATTAGGAAATTGACTCAACAATGTACATCAATCTATCCACCTAAAATGATAGCCTGGAAATGGAAGGTCCATTCTTTCAAAATGCAAGTTGGACATAGGCAACTTGCAAGTTGCACAAGAAGGCAACCAACCTTAGATTGCAAGGTATCCTTCAGTGACTAGTGCTACAAGTTGGGTGAGCAAGAAGCAACTAGACCCTGTCAGGTCCCTATTTTTGGGATACATGTTAAGTAGGTCATAGACCAATCATTACTCTAAAATGAATATAAACTACTTCCTCTGATATGTTTGTATTCTACTTAAGACTCTATGCTTAAATCAGTGGATACTGTTTGTCCCAAAAGCTTAAGTTGTTATAAAATGGATCCAACAAAATTTATCAAGTTATCCGACACTCTCCCTCATGGGCAGCCCTGTCTTGCACGTGGAGATGCAAACAGAGAACCAAATAGAAAGAGAAGCAAACAAAGAAGAAGAAAAATGGGGTCCAAATATCAAAAATCAATGGAGAGATTTAACCCAAGACCTCTTTCAACTTGAACTCGAAGTCACTAATTGTCTGAAAAGCTTAAACTATGAGGAAATTGGCTCAACAATTTACATCAATCTATCCAAAACCTAAAATGATAGCCTGGAAATGGAAGGTCCATTCTTTCAAAATGCAAGTTGGACATAGGCAACTTGCAAGTTGCACAAGAAGGCAACCAACCTTAGATTGCAAGGTATCCTTCAGTGACTAGTGCTACAAGTTGGGTAAGCAAGAAGCAACTAGACCCTGTCAGGTCCCTATTTTTGGGATACCTGTTAAGTGGGTCATAGACCATACTTGACTATGACAAACCACTGGACTACCTCTAGGATCTTTCAAGTAGTATTGAGTGACTTTCTTGCACAGGCATATGCCATATTTACTACCAAGGACTACCTCTAGGATCTTTCAAGTAGTATTGAGTGACTTTCTTGCACAGGCATATGCCATATTTACTACCAAGAGCACTAACAGCATGCATATTCAGATATTCCCCACCTTATAATGTTCGAGCTACTATGAACATAAAGTCAATGGTTTGTGAAAGCAATCACTTTTGTCACTGGTGGCAACAAAGCCGATCCACCATTAATGATAATTGTGAAAGAAAGATAAATAATATTTGTTCATTTGCTATCTACTTCTGTCAAGTCACAATCCATCACTGATCTGGCCCACAGGGATGTTCAATATAGTTAGTCCACTGCAGTGACATCCTATATACTATATAGTCACATGAAGGCAATAATTTGAAACATTTAAACAGAGGCACATCTTAATGAATCTAACAGTTAATGCAACCAAAGACAGTAATCATGAACCAGATCTAGAATTTAAGATACTGTGCCAACCTGTGCATTAAATGTACGTACCAATGGTGGGCCACTGGTTAAATATCCCTTGCTTAAAGCAACAAAAATACCCTTACAGGTATCTGCTTGACCCTTTTCTCTCTTTTTAAGTCATGAATTTAGATACTAAAAAATTTGATCATCCTTTTTAATACACAGATCATCACAGCCATAAATAATCTCATTTTAACTACTGAAACAGGGCCTGCTAATACTCACGCTGCAAGCTCACACATCCTCTCTGAAACCACCAATCTGCACATCAGCCAATAAGAACACTCCGTGCAAGCAAGTTGATGGGGGAAAATCAGCACTACTGTTTACAGGCCTGTATCTGGTGGCATTGGGTGTTGGTGGGATAAAAGGTTCTCTTCCTCCACACGGAGCTGAGCAGTTTGACGAGACTACCCCAAAGGGAAGGAAACAAAGATCAACGTTCTTCAATTACTATGTTTTCTGCCTCTCCTGTGGGGCTTTAATTGCCGTGACATTTGTAGTGTGGATGGAAGACAACAAAGGCTGGCAATGGGGTTTTGGGATCTCCTCTGCGACAATATTAATCTCTATCCCAATCTTCCTCCTTGGCTCCCCTATTTACAGGACCAAAATTCCTCATGGAAGCCCTATTACAACCATCTTCAAGGTAGGATCACACAAATAGTTCTTGTGCAACTGAAAAAACGTCTTTCATTGATTTTTTTTTTTTTTTTTTTTTCACAACAGGTTTTGGCTGCAGCAATTTACAACAGTTGCACGTCTAGAAATTCCAGCAACGCTGTTGAGAGCATGAGCACAAGCCCATCCTGTACAACTGGTACCAGCGAAGAAGAAGGTCATGACAAAGAAAATGCACAAACTCAAACTGTAACACAAGAATTGAAGTTCCTTGATAGAGCAGTGGTAAGCAAGCCCATCCACCCAATGCTAGCATGCACTGCAAAACAAGTCGAAGAAGTGAAAATTGTAATTAAGATCATACCCATCTTCATGTCTACCATTATGCTCAACTGTTGCCTCGCTCAGCTCTCCACATTCTCCGTCCAACAATCAGCCACCATGAACACCAGGATTGGCTCCTTAAGAGTTCCACCAGCTTCTCTACCTGTATTTCCTGTCCTCTTCATGATTGTCCTCGCACCCGTCTACAACCATATCATCGTCCCATTTTCCAGGGCAGTAACCAAAACCGAAATGGGTATCACTCATTTACAACGAATTGGGACAGGGCTAGTTCTTTCTATCGTGGCCATGGCCGTTGCAGCTCTGGTTGAAATAAAGCGAAAAAGGGTCGCAGTCCAATCTGGTCTTGTGAACTCCACTGAACCTCTTCCCATCACATTCCTTTGGATCGCTTTGCAATACTTGTTTTTAGGGTCGGCTGATCTCTTTAGCTTGGCTGGCATGATGGAATTCTTCTTCACAGAAGCCCCCTTTAGCATGAGATCTTTGGCCACAGCTCTGTCATGGGCCTCATTAGCAATGGGGTACTACCTCAGCTCAGTACTCGTAACCTTAGTCAACAATGTCACTGTTACCTTCCAGCACAAACCATGGCTCTTTGGTAGCAACTTGAATCATTATCACCTCGAAAGGTTTTACTGGTTAATGTGCATATTAAGTGGACTGAATTTTTTAAATTACCTCCTTTGGACTAGGCGCTACCAGTATAGATCAACAAAGCCCGACAATCAGAAGGAAATTCAACCACTGAATCAGTCCACAGAGGTCTGATTGCCCCTATTATGTGTTTTATTGTATATTGATCATCCATATCTACAAAATTGAGAGAGAGAGAGAGAGAGCACCAGCTGATACTGATTAGATTAGAGATAGTCCAATGCTTCTAATTAATGGTTCTTCTGCTATCATGAATCTAGGATGTTATCTTCCTCATTCCTATTGATATTTGTAAATTGTAAGAATATCAATTGTTTATAAGTAATAACTACAGCAGATCTTGTAATACTAGGACTACAAGTATTCATGTTCTCATCCACTTGTCAAAAGCAGTTCACTCAAACTTCCAAACCTCAAATCTAGCAAGTTCATGTCCTACTACATAATTTACATATACAAAATCATAACTTTTTTTATTTCACAATAATATCATAAATTTATAATTTTAAAGTCAGAATATAAAAATGAAAAGCCGTATCCTAGAGAGGTCCATTCCTAGTTCAATGCTCATTGGACCAAGAGTTGTCCGCATGAAACGAAAAAAGCTATATCAAGACATTTGGATTATTTCGACAATGTGGCTCTAGGAGTGGTAGAAAAATGTCCGTATCCAACACAAGCACTAGCCCTTTGCATAACCATGAAATGAAAGCTACCGATTCCTAAGACCTTCAATGTGAAAATAACATTGATAAACAATCACATCCCCACTTTAAAAAAAAAATGAAAAAAATAATGAGGAATTGAGAACAGTATCATATGAAAACAACCCATTTAAATTCAACAACCAGTAAGCGAATGCTAAGCATTATCATGATGTGGTCAATTCAGCGGAAAGGGATGACAAAGATTGCAACAGGTGAGCTGTCATCTATGAAGTATAGTTACTTCGAAAAACATGCCGTATCCGTAGCAGATACTTACCAGTATGTGGTATCTCGTATGGTACTTTTGCATACATACCAGATACACGAAACACGTACCCACATTTTTTTTCTTAATTTTTGGCACACCCAGACGTATCTACTACATACCCAAGCCGTACCATACCTCAGTTGAAACAATATTTTCTTCTACTACAGAGATAAAACTCCTTTCACTAGGTTTCTTTTTTATTTTCGTTTTATACTTAGCATATTTTTAAAATTAAAACTATAGTTTATAAGTTATTTAATATATTGACATTTAATTTTGATTTATACATTTACTTTTGGCATTAAATGTTAATTGTAGGTCAAATCTTAACAAATTAAATCATTTAATTAATTTTTACATTACTCTAAATTAAAAATAAATATTTTTTTACAAGCGTACCAAGCTGTACTTGTACTCTACTTTTTTTTTATTTGACCGTATCGACATACCCGTATCATAATAATACTAGTACTCGTACTCGTACCCGTGCTTCATGGGCTCTCATCAATCATGATAAATAATGTTATCAGATTGGAAATGTCTCTTCCATTTCCACCGGTATTACACGAAAATTCAATGAATCATAATAACAAGAACCCAAAAATCATTATCATCATTGTTACTATCAAGATCAAAAACAAGTAATTAATATACACAGTTTGTTACAGATTAAAATGTGAATCAGACACAGAAAAATACAAATTTGTGAATTTGTGCGCGTTTACATGTCTATAATAAACACACACAGACACACAGAGAGAGGAAGAGACCTTTGGGACATTGAAGAGCTCGAAATGTGAAGAACGGTTTGAATTCAAACATGTAGATGATGATAAATAATTGATAATTAACTTTATATTGTGTTATGCAGATGGAGTACGGGGATGTAGCTCAGATGGTAGAGCGCTCGCTTAGCATGCGAGAGGTACGGGGATCGATACCCCGCATCTCCATGCCGGTTTTTAATTTTTTATTTGGTTTAATTAGAAAAAAAAAATTTCCTAAGATTTTATGCATTTTTCACTTTAACTTTTTAATTTTGACAAATTAAATTCTAAAGTTCTATCCGTATTTTAATCTCCCCTCCATCCATCTCCATCTATGTAAGGTAACGGGGAGGGTTTTAAGTGAAAGCATTAAGGTTTAAAGTGAAAAAATGCGTGAAACCTTAGGATTTATTTTTTAATGTAATTAATTATTTTTTAAAATTAAAATCATTAAAAACAAAAAAGGATTAATTACAAAATAAATCTCAAGATTTTACGTATTTTTAACCTTAAACCTCCTCTGTTACCTTACAACAGAGATGAACGGATGTGACAAATTAAAACACGGATAGAGCTCAAGAGTTTAATTTATCAAACTTAAAATACAAAAATTTAAAGTGAAAAAGCGCGAAATCGTAAGATGATTATTATTATTATTATTATTATTATTATTATTATTATTATTATTACTAC